ATTAAAAATGGACAGAATGAGTAAAACTTTTTTAAAACTTACATCAATATTCTTTTATGAAAAAAGTGTTTTGTAGGTAATCCTACTAAATTTTTTTTGGAGAACATGTCTAAAAATTTATCTTTTAATTAATATTTTTAAAAATCAACTATTGAATTGAAAGTTTTATCAATATAGATCATTCATATCAATTCTCAAATTGTTTAAGTGAGCCTAATCATTTTGTTAATTAGAAGAAATTTAATACCATTAAATATATATCAATAAATAGAGTTTTTTTAATTTAATGATTATAAGTATTAGATTAATATAAAAATTAATATAAATAATTTACATTGATAAAAATTTTAATCTAATAATCAGTTTTAAAAATATTAATTAAAATGTGTGTTTTTAGATAAATCTTTCAAAAAAAATTTTGAGAGGACAATCCACTATCTACCGTCCTCATATTTTGTTCAACTCATATCACACACGTTTTTTATATTAAATAAAAAAATTGAATTGAAAATTAAAAAGAGAAGAAACACTTGAACCGGCCTGCAGGACCCATGGTTTATTTCTAAGCCTTAAGTGTTTTGGGTGTAATTGGTTGGGAGTTTGACTCCTACCAATGACTTGAAAAAAAATCCCCCATCAACCAAATTCCCCCATGTTCAACAAAAAAGAAGAAGAAGAAGAAGAAGAGGAAGAAACATTTAATCCAACGGCTTAAAAGCCGTTGGATTAAAGAAATGGCAGCTCTTGACATGCAGCCCACTTCAGTTTTGGGGGTTAAAAAATTGTAATCGAGCTTGTTCGCAAGTTTGGCAAAGTCCGTTATCTAGAGAAGAAAATAAAATATCAATGAATCATTATGGCATATTTCAACCAATGTTTTGAAACTTAACCCGTTTTGCAGCATTAAGTCTAATTTAATTGATTCAACTAATTAACTGGCTACACAACATAAATAACAAAGGCTATATAACATTAATTATTGGATAGAGGTGGACTCTATTTTTAACAACCTCTTCAAACCTCAATGGATCACTATCTACAAGTAATGCGAATGAGTAGTTGAATCATCATTTTAGAAGTAGACTTGCTAGGAATTGTTTTCAAGATTTTTCAACTTTTCTTTCTCAATTTTTGCCTTTTTGCATCATTTGCACCTGCTGTTGGTACAATAACTCTAACTTTAATAACTGTCCAATACTTTTTTAATGGAAATTCTCTACCAACATGCTCCAATGGTCATAATAATGACCATTAAAACGGGAAATTGAAGGCTAGACAAAATTTTCAGAAGCCATGAAATTTTTCAAAAAGTATGGCTTTGATATTAGATGTTACAAAATTCAAGAAAAAGAAGAAATATGAAATTGTGGGGAATATATGGATCCAATTGAATTAAATACAAACTAGAGGATACAACAACGATGACGAAAAGATGAGGATATAATTGTCTAAAAGGAAATAAACCTTATATAAGCTTTACATCAAACTTAATTAATTAAAGAAAACATTAATCCACTAACCTTAATAATGGGAACACAAACCAATAAGCAAGTGGTGCTTTAAGTCTAGGAAAACAAATAAACAATGTAAATCAACTTCTTAAATAATAGGGATACTGACTAAAAACTAGAACCACTTCCAACAATCCAATGGTTATTTCAACAGGAAACACTTAACAATGTAAAACAAAGGTCTTAGCAAACTTCGTCTATATTTCTAGTTATTGCATTTGATATTACTTGGTCTCGCCCGGATTGTTTGGTGCAGCATTCCTTTCCCTGCACCAGGTGCCACAATCCATTTTTAATTAATATTAATAAATTCAAGCCCAAAATGTACTAAAATGAGGCAGCTGTTGTTTTAATTAGGATTTTCTTCTTTAACTTTTGGACATAGCTAGTACTTTTACTTCATTATCTATCTATATTACTATTTCAAATGAGTTTTAAGACCTTCATTACTAATACTATCAAATAATAATGAAGATTACAATAAATGAAATAAAAAACTAACCTTAATTGCTTGCGCTTCTCACCAAAATGAATCATAGCTCGACAGAGAGCCTGTGGAAGAACTGTTCCAAACAATTTCAATGTCACTAATTTATACATGTAATTCCATTACCAAATACACATATATACACACACGGAATTCATTCATAATTATATTAAAAAATTGTGCATGAAGTCAACCTAAGAAAAAAAAAAAAAATTAGTACACGCTCGATTTTACACTAAATACACACATAGAATTCACTCATAATTATATATTAGAAAAATGTGCATCAACCCAACCTAAGAAAAATAAAGAAAATAATTTGTACATATTTGATTTTACACACTTGTTAATAAATTTGCAGTTCAATAATAAAAAATATAATATAAATATAGTCAATTCAATTAAATTTTGCATAATATATGTATGATTATATCTTTAACTTTGTTTGCTTTTAATTTTATATTAAAAAATAATAATTTTTTTTTATAAATGTACTATACAATGTATTGAATCAAAATGTGTATCAATTAGTGTCTAAGAAACAAAACTAAGTCATTTTAATAAATTGCCATTAATAGAAACACTAAAACAACCTGCAGAAAAAAGCTTTTTTAGGCCGACCTATATTGAACAACATAGACTGAAAATTATCATATTTATCATTTTTGTTCGTGAGTTTTAAAAGAGGAGAGTGACTTTTTCATTTTCCAAAACCCTTTATATTTAATTGATTTGTTTGTTTTAGCAGTAGTGTTTTTAAAAAAAATAAAAAATAAAAAATCAGTTAGGATCTAAAAAAATTGAAAAGTAACTATAATATGAAATTACGGTAAACTACACACATGTGGTCACTCATCTTTATCAAAACATTCAGTTTAATCACTATCCTTTTCAACTTATAAAATTGTTTATTCACTTCCATTATCTATCCCAAACTGCCATTAAGGAAGAGTGATTTTTGTTAGATAAGACAAGAAGTTGATACAAAATGACAAGAGAAAACAAGGACTTATGACAGTTAGGAAGCCATTTTTTCCCCTCCAAGCCAGAAAAAGTGATCCATTGTAAAAGAAAGCTATAATCCCCCTAATGGCAATTGGAAAACAAATGGGAACAAACTGGAAGATAGACCGACTTTTTAATAGCTTAATGACAAGAGATACCGGAGTGGCGGAGTGTGCTTAAAGGAGCATGTTAAAGCAAATGTGGGTGACTAAATTTACAAAAATAGAAAGAGAGTGACTAAACTGAAAGTCATAATAAAGTAAGAGACCATGTGTTGTAGATTGCCCATGAAATTATAAAATTAAATTGATCATAACTAATCTGAAAACGGAAAATTTTGTTAAACTTAAAAATTTATAGCTATTTTTCAAAAGTTCCACACCTTCCTCCTGCACCTGTGCCCTGAGCTCTGACGAACTTGGTGTCTGGGAGTTGGTTAATGCAGGCCGCTCTTCAACCTCTCTGGATGTGGATATTTTGTCCTGTAAAAACCAAACCCATAATTTTATAACAGTGATATCAGCAAAATCAATATTTTCAACGAAGGAAGAAGGGGGGACAGACTTGCATCTAATTCCTTAAGCTTGGATTTGTCAAAATTTACTAATACCTGAGCCATTTCATTAAACCGATGAGGTTGCAACCATTGATTCGCTAATACATGTTCATTTAACTGCCGAACTTCGGTCTCAAGTGCTTCCACCTTAGACCATAATTCACCCATTCCATTCACAATATTCTCTAAATTTTGTATTTTTTCCTGAGATAACAGATATATAATAAAATTCAAAACAACACTGCTCATAAAGTTTAAAGAGAAAAGTGAAAAAGTGAAAAGTGAATTAAAGATAAACTTTTTGTCAAATTGAATTTTTTTTTTTGTTGATTCGTTAAAGTATTTTAATTTTTTATTATTAATTATCAAAATATCTTATTTTTAAATTTATTATTTAACTAAATAAATTAAAGAAAATGATTCGGAGTTCGAGAAAGGATAGGGGCGCCGCGAATGATTAAATGGTTCGTTAACATACCATTTAACCAAACCAATTTCACAACGCAGGATGTACACACAGAAAACTTACTAAATTCAACCAATATAATTATAAAAACAAAAATTAAACAGGTTGGGTCAATGTTTTTAAACCCGAATTAGAAGTCAAACCGTTTTGACTTTCAGTTCACGGTTTGATTAGTTTAACCGGTAAAATCATTGAATTCATCAAACTATTATAAATATATTATTTTGTAAAATATTTCACAAAATGTTAGTTGGATGCAGTGGTAGGTGATTGATTTGATATTTGAAAGATCACAAGTTTGAGCTTTTTTGAGAATAAAGTTTAATATAATTGTGGTTTTAAAAATAAAATAAATATATTGTAAAGCAAAAAATAGCAAATAAAAAGTTGTGTCTCAAGTGGTAGAGTCTTTGTTTTATATCATGAAAAATAGGTGTTCAAATCCCATGGCTGTCATCAATAAATTAGTTAAAAGCTTGAGAATTCTATTAGATAAATAAAATTTTAAGCACCTAATGACACAAGAATTGCATCGTCTTAGTGGTAAAGAGTCAGAATTAAGACTTTGGGGTTGTGAGTTCAATTCTCGCGAGAGACGAAGTTTTGAAGATTTTATGCTTAAGCGTTGAACCATCTGGTCGAATGGTTTATTGATTTGAGTGATTTTAACGGTTTTTATTGGTTTCAAATGGTTTAAAAAATACAACCAAACTATTTTATACCATTAAGTATCAGTTCAATTGGTTTGACTGATTTGATTGGTCCGATCTGATTTTCAAAACATTGGGTTGGGTCGTTGGCTAAAAGGAAGAAAAAGAAGAAGAAGAAGTTGGGTGGATTTTGAAAAGATTTCTCTATCGGTTGTATTAAAACTTAAAACTTAAAAGCCCCAAGGAATAAAGTAACAGCAATAACAGCTTCGCCCTACAGTCAATTTCCAACTGTTAAATCAAAGAAAATTTGCTGGGCTGAAAAATTTTAAATCTAAACTTTTCATAAATTTTTTTTTACTCATTTTTTTTATCTTTAAAAATAATTTTAAAATTTTTATGAAATAAGACAAATTGACATTATTTTCGTTCTATTATTCTAAAAAGAAAACTTGGTACATTGTTGGCCCTCTATGGTAGACAATTAAAATTGAATAAATGCAATTAATTGGCTAACCAATCAACTAATTAATTAACAGAGACTAAGGAATTCAAGCTCAGCAAATTCTGTAGAAGCTGTAACTGATTCTGCCAAGTGCCAACTCAGCAAGTTTGATATGCCACATCAGCTAT